TAGTGGCACCTTCTTGTTTAGTTATTATAAAGGGCCCCAGAAGAGGAGGGTCTTTTTCTCTTCAGTCCAGAGGTGGGGACCAGAAGTTGAGGAGGTGTGGTGTCCTTGGGGTCCCACAACCACTGTGTGCTGCTAGAGGCCCTGAGGGATGGGGGGTGGTGCAGCACATTCCCGTGGTTTAGGAAAAGGTTGTAACTGCTCTTCAGAGCCAGGGGTCACCATTTTCATGGCAAAGGTATCCTTCACTCTATTAAAAGAACACCTGGTGGCTCGGTGGCTAGGGTGCCAGTCACATGCACGGGGGCTGGCGGGTTCAAACCTGGCCGGGGCCTACCAAACAACAATGACAGCACCAACAAAAATAGCCAGGCGTTGTGCCAGGTACCTGTAGTCCCAATTACTTGGGAGGCTGAGGCAAGAGGCTAGTGTGAGGTTGCTGTGAGCTGTGATGCCACTCTACCAAGGATGACATTGATATAATGAGATTCTGTCTTAAAAAAAAAGAAAAGAACACATGGTGATGCAGAATTTCTTCAGAGCTAGAGTCTCAGTGTCTTCAATTTGGATTTAAGTAACGAGCAACTCCTAACACCCGTTGTTGGAGGGGAGCTGTAGATGGCAGGGGGTGTGTTGATGGTGGTGTCATCTTAACACTGTGCTCCAAGCTCACTTCGGGGCCCCTCCTGCCATCCAGAGAGAGCAGGAGGAGGCCAGTTCAGGACAAGGCCGTCCCAGTCAAACTCAAGAGCAATGTGGCCTTAGTGCTGGGAGTGAGCAAGGTCCTGTGCCTGTGGTCACAGAAGCTGTGCTGGGAAGCCTCTGCCTCGTGGTGAGCACATCCAGCTTGTTGTTCTGAATGGAACTGGCAGAGAGAGTAGGCTCTCTGGGGTCCTGGACCCTCTAAGTGGTTTCCAGAAGCAGGCCTGGCATGGACATTCATGAGCAGAAAACTCACTGGGCAGTGCTCTCACCTGGGGGGTGACTTGAGAAGGTGGGCTAGTCTCTGTAGCCCCTAAGGGGAGCTTGGCAGCTGGGCTGGCTCTTCCTTGAAGTTGTTGAGGGGCAGGGTTGCTCATAGCAACTCATGACCACGGGCTTCCACATCTTCAGTGGAGCCTGCTGGTGAGGGCTGAGAGCTCAGGGTGGAGGGGGTGGCTCTGGCAGTGGGGCCTGGATGACCTCAGTCCCATAAGGATGCAGTCACAGGCCACCATATGTGCGTGAATGTGGGGTGCATTTTAATTTTGCTTTATTTCTAACTCAATTGACTTCATTTCCACCTTTGTCTGGAGCCTGGACCACCTGAAGGGTGCCGTCATGTGGAGGGCGCCCTCTCTGTGGGGCTGCTCTCCTGTGTGGAGGCGTCAGGCTGGCCTGTGTCTCAATGGCTGAGGCCAGACCTGGGTCCAGATCTTCCCTGCTAGTATGCAGCTGGCCACTCCAAGTTTCTTCTGCTCCAGCAGGGGTTATGGGCTCCATGTCCAGGCAGTGTGAGTTTATGTTAAACAATAAATTCGAGGAATCACACTACCAGACCTCAGACTATACTACAAATCCATAGTGATCAAAACTGCATGGTACTGGCACAAAAATAGAGAGGTAGATGTATGGA